AAACTTTAAGTATATAAATAAAAGACGCCTCATATTTTTAGTTTCTCACGTACTTTAACAAAAAAAAAAGTTTTGATATTGAGAGCTTCTCAATAAAACTGATAAAAAAATTGTTGGTAATTTTAAAGCCGTGATGCATGAAATAATTACAAGAAAAAGAATTTTCAAGTCCTATTCCAAAATATTTACATTTTCCTTAGATAAGAAAGATAGTAAGGGATGCTAATGAATTTATGACTTATTTAGGGAGAAAGAAAAAACATTTGAATGTTGTAAAATGATATCGCTTTATCAATGGAATGGCTCTTCATAACACCATTTTTATGAGTGTAAATTATGAAACAGATAGATTGAGATAATCACTATAATAAAACAAATTTTCATTACAATAAAATGGTAAGGAAAAACGTATGCAACAAAGCGCGGATCTTTGACTTGTGCATTAAAGAAACTTGCATAACATAAAGGCTCCATTCATTTCGCGAAAAATGTGACGATTCTGGAAAATATTTTTCAATAAGCCATTTTCTAGAAAAATGAAAATATTTTCCGATGTTCGGTTGAAACCTAAAAATGAACTAGAAAATATTTTCCGCCGCTTAGTATCTGATTTGATTGTCTGAAAAAAAAAATTAGCAAAAACTCAAGCCTCACCCAGTTCGCTGGATCTGGCGAGGCTCGAGCTCGCAGGTAGTCGGTTGTTGCTGTGGCTGGCGGCCGGCTGAGGAAGAAGCAAAAAGAAAAAGAAAGAAAAGGAAAACAAAAACAAAAAAGAAAAATAATTAAAAACTCGATTTTTTAAAAAATAAATAAATAATAGAAAAAAGAAAAGGAAAAAGGTGTTTCGTGAAAGTAGATATGGAAAAAAGGTTTTCCATTTTCTAACAAGCGGAAAACATTTTTTTTACTTTTGAATGTGTTTTTTCCATTGACGGAAAATGTTTTCCTTAACTAGTTTATTTTTCATGAACCGAACGCTGAAAAATCCAAAAAACGTTTTCCTGAAAGTTGTTTTCAGTGAAGCGAATGGAGTCAAAGTATCGATACGAAAGAAAAAGGAGCCTTAGGCTTCTCATTATTCCTCATTAATTTACTTAGCAAAAAAAGCAAGCGATTACCCCTAAGAGAATAGAACCCTAGCTCGAAAACATATGACATATAATGAAGAAAAATTTGGATGTCTTCATAAAAGATCTATGACAAAATTGAAACTATTATAAAATGGCACATCGATACAATCTATTGAGGCCTATTTGGATAAGACACGTACGTATTTTTATTATAAACAACTTATTTTAACTTATCATTTATTCGATGCACATACGAACATATTATATGCAATCATTCTTAGTAGTTAAATGGCCTAATTCCCTAAAAAATCCCCAACTTTAGGTGAAGTCCCAAATCTACCCTAGACTTTTTTTTGTCCAAGAAAAAACCCCATATTTTAGGTAAAGTCCCAAATCTGCCCAGAACTTTTTTTTGTCTAAATAAAAACCTCAAACTTTAAGTCCAGTCCCAAATTTACCACGAGTGTTGTTTTGTGTAAAAAAAATCAGCAAATTTCAATTTATTTTCAAAAATATATCCCGTGATTAAGTCCCAACTTGACGTGGCACTTCCACATCGATAACAAATCCACATCAACAAAGTAATGGGGCTTTTTTTAGACAAAGAAAAGTTCGGGGAAAATTTGGACTGAACCTAAAAATATGATTTTTTTTAAATTAAAAAAATTTTGGGGTGGATTTGTTATCGTCCCTAACTTTCATATCCTAGAATGGTTTTATTTTGGAGAATTTCAACAATATTTATTGGGTTTGATTTGTTATCAAAGTGGAAATGCCACGTCGGTCTATATCTATCTCCCCATTACTTTGCTGATGTGGATTTGTTATCGACTTGGAAGTTCCATGTCAATTTGGGATCGGATGACAAGGGTATATTTTTGAAAATAAATTGAAATTTGCTGATTTTTTTTACACAAAACAAAATTCGAGGCGGATTTGAGACTGAACTTAAAGTTTGTGGTTTTTTTTAGACAAAAAAAAGTTTTGGGCAGATTTGGGACTGGACCTAAAGTTTGGGGTATTTTCTAAGACAAAAAAAAATTCGGGCAAATTTGAAACTTGACTTAAAATTTGGGGTTTTTTTAGGGAATTCACCGGTAGTTAAATATACAAGGCAGTCGCTCGGGGCCAGTCAATATATTCCCCCCACACATGATGAATTGTACGGATGCGTGGTGGTCCGTTGATTTGACAAAAAAAAATTTGTCGCATAATAAAAAGCATCCTGCAAAGCGACCCAACTTATATATATGCTCTTCATATCTATACATCATCCACTAATTATCAATTAATAAGCTTAATTAATAAATTGTTGGAATCTGATTCAAGTCACGCGTAACCTTACATGTATTAGCTGTTTTGGCCGGTAGTATGAAAAGGAGAACGTCTTCAACAGCTGGACCATTTGAGCATTTCATTAATATTGAGAAAATACGAGCTATAGTTATTTTTGGTAATTGGTATTGGTGTAAATTAGGAAATTAATCATCATAGGATATAATTTAACCTATGAACCTCTCCATGGACCATAGATGAAGGTTCGGATCATGTCGAGGCACAAAAAGTTCTCTCTCTACAAGCTTTTACATTTGAGACTAAGCTCTCGAAGGTATCGAGCTGTGTTTTGCATTAACTTGAAAGCATTAAATTAAGATACCCGCAATCATTCAAAAACGCGCGCGGGAGATTTCCATTATTGGTCACTAAACTTTAGTAGAATTCGCAATCAAGTCACGGGACTGACATATCCATGGTGGGTGGCATGAATCAAAATAGCAGTGATGATGGGGTAATAGATAGGGGTGAGCAAGATGGACTGCCCAAATCGAGACAAGACCGGACATACCGATTTAGCCAAGTTCTCGGGAATGTCGGTCCGGTTTCCGGTTCCTAAAAGTGGAACTGGTTTTCGAGCGATCCGGTTCCCGGTTCTAGGGTGGAAACCGGACTGGACCGGACCGACCGGACTGGACCGAACCGATAAATATATATTTTTCTAATTTTTTCATATATATAATATTTAATATATATATGAAAAGTATTTAATATTGGTCCCATGGGAATCGATTGTTCAATTTTTTCATATATTATATATATTTTTTCAATTTTTCCCATGGCCTTATGGGATCAAATTAGAACTACAAAGGAAAGAACGGAACAATCGGTTCCGGTTCACAAATAATATTTAATATTGGTCACATTGGAACCAGTCCACGGCCCCAAGACTAGCCGGTCTGGTCCCCGATCCTAGAAACTGGGAACCGATCCTCCCGGTCGGGTTTCCGATTCTTGGGTTGGACTTGACCGGACCGGAAATCACTCACCCCTAGTAATGGAGCCGGGCTGCTCACAACCACTGTTGTAATTTGACCGCCACCGTTGTGGCTGCTGTATGGGGAGAGTGAAGTGAAACGGTAGAAAATTAGAGTTTCTTTTGGTGTCAAGAGAGGGAAAAGTGTGGTAAAGAGGATGTGGATGCAATCTCGACCACATAATTATACGTTGATGTACAACTATTTAAAAGAGATGAATTTAAGATGTACCTATTATTTCTAAATTTAGAGGAACCATATAGTTAATGTAACAAAAGTCTCAAAATCTCGCAAGAGGCCCTCTTTCGCTTGATTCTTATTTCAATCAAAAAAGAAAATCGAAAAACCTCAAAACCTTATGAAAAAAAAAACTTATTGTCGCATCTCAATCTTCCTCATAGAGCTCTTGTTTATATTAATAGTGTAAGGAAACGTGAAGAAAAGAAATTTGTGCATAAATGGGCCTTGATGTGATATATAAATATATTTATATATTTATATATAAAAGAGAGATAATATAATCTAAGTAAATCATTTAGAATCGTTGAACCGTGATTAGAAAGCCGCAATATGAAGAGCTCTTCAACTCCGTGACTCAATAATCATACTTCGATTGGGTTTTTTGCGAAAAGACTTAATTGTATTCAGTGGGTATTTGTATTTCAGCAACTCAAGTAATTCTTTTACCTAAAACATATAAACTCTAATTCATAGAGATTAACAAAGCAATATAACATCTTTTCATGAGTATAAAATATGAGCCCGATTAATTGAAATTAATATCGGCATCTCTACAACACCGTGATTATTTTACGTTGGATCAGAGATGAAATGAAAGGGTATAGTATAATAGGCTGATTAAATCATTGATAAAGTACGATACTTTTATTTTTTATGGTATGAAAAAGGGCTAAAGCCGAATACAAAAATTTAACGTCGTAAATCTACTATCCCTATTTTTATGACCTAATAAAACGTGAGGTAACCCTCTAGGAGATACCCTCTAGGAGATAATGAAAAAGAAACTAATATCGAAACGCCTACTGATTTCAAGATAAGCACGCTAGTCAGCTAATAGATAAAGTGCAAATATTTACCAAATAATTGATGCTCCCTATCATCACACTCTTCAAATAATACCAGAGGAAACATGCAGAAACATTTGACTTTTGGAAAACCTATTTTAGGATTTAAGGTCAGAGATCACCAGAAGGTAATTGATATGGACATTCTAATATTTGATTTGACCCTCGAGAAAATTCTACCCCGGGTATCCACTCGCTATCGTTAGCCGCATAACATCACAATCAATTATCTAAATAATTCAAAATTAAACAAATTAATTAATTAATTGAGTAGGAGAGAGGGGTGGAAAAACAAGTACTAGCGAGGGTACTACTGCAAAAACATAGAAAATAAAAAGAAACAGAGACCGCTCCTCCGCCGCGCCGGGGCGGTTGGTTTAGGAAGGGAAGGAGCCACGTCAGCATCGGGCCAATGGTAAGCGAGACGAATAATTTCTCGACGCAATGGGAGGACGCCACGTCGGCCGCGTTGACTTTTCTATTTTTTTAAAAAAGTTATCGCCGCCAGTTCGCTCTGAATCGTTCTCTTTCAAGTGGCGCACGACCGCACGCCCGCCAGTTTCAGTCTCCAGAAAAGAAGAAGAGAAACGGTCTCGCCGGTTGAAATCTGCCTTGAATACGCTTCCGATGCAAGAAGTTGCGACGAAGCTTCGCGGGACTGATTATTTTAATCCCCGGTGAAGTTGTTATTAATCTCCCCTCCTTCCTGGCGATTTCTGCAGCGAGAGACGGAAGAGACTGGTTCTCAAAGTCAGAGGTACGCAGTTGACGAAACTAAGGCGTCTCTCTCTATCCATCTCTTTCGACACTGACTTCGTATAAGGGGTCTTCTATTTGCTTATTCTGTTTCGATTTTCATTTGCGCGATGCAATTCGTGACTAAAGTTTGAATTCCTCATAATCTATTGACTGCGTGTAGAGATGGGGCAAGGAGGACAGGATTGCGGAAACCTTGAAGCCATCTCGAAGAAGTTGAATGACCGTGAGGCGATGTTCCCCGCTTGGGCGAGAGATATCCCCGAGTGCGAGAAGCACTACCGCACCAGCAGGGCCTCGGGGCTCAAGTCCAGGGATGTCGAGAGGAGGCGCAAGCTGTATGGCCCCAACGAGCTGGAACACCACGAGGGGGTCTCGATCTTTAGCCTCATCCTCGAGCAGTTCAACGACACGCTCGTCCGGATCCTGCTTGGCGCTGCGGTCGTCTCCTTCGTGCTCGCCTGGTATGAGGGCGAGGGAGGCAGTGCCAACAAGGAGATCACCGCCTTCGTGGAGCCACTGGTGATATTCCTGATCCTGATCTTGAATGCGACTGTCGGGGTGTGGCAGGAGAGCAATGCTGAGAAGGCTCTGGAGGCGCTGAAGGAGATTCAGTCTGAGCAGGCGACGGTGGTGCGAGATGGGAAGAGGATTCTGAATTTGCCCGCGAGGGAGCTCGTGCCAGGGGATATTGTGGAGCTCAAGGTCGGAGACAAAGTGCCGGCAGATATGCGTGTCGTGGGGTTGATCAGCTCCACATTGCGGTTGGAGCAGGGCTCCTTGACTGGAGAGAGCGAGGCTGTGAACAAGACGAGCAAGGCCATTGCGGAGGACGCGGACATACAGGGCAAGAGATGCATGGTCTTCGCAGGGACGACCGTGGTGAACGGTAATTGTATCTGTTTGGTCACTCAGACCGGGATGGAGACCGAGCTTGGGAAAGTACACAAGCAAATCCATGTGGCGTCACAGAGCGAGGAGGACACCCCGTTGAAGAAGAAACTGAACGAGTTCGGGGAGGTCTTGACGATGATAATCGGCATGATTTGCGCACTTGTCTGGCTCATCAGCGTCAAGTACTTCCTAACCTGGGAGTATGTAGACGGGTGGCCGACGAATTTCAAATTCTCATTTGAGAAGTCCGCTTATTACTTCGAGATTGCTGTGGCATTGGCTGTGGCTGCAATTCCCGAAGGTCTGCCTGCCGTGATCACGACTTGCCTGGCGCTCGGGACGAGGAAGATGGCACAGAAGAATGCCCTTGTTAGGAAACTCCCAAGCGTCGAGACCTTGGGGTGCACGACGGTGATCTGTTCAGATAAAACTGGCACATTGACCACTAACCAAATGGCTGTGGCGAAGCTGGTGGCTGTTGGTTCGTCGCCCGATCAGTTGAGGACCTTCAAGGTCGAAGGGACAACTTACAATTCGTTAGATGGCAAAATTCACGACTGGCCAACCGGCCACATGGATGCTAATCTTCAAATGATAGCACAAATCGCCGCTGTATGCAACGATGCTGGTGTTGCGCGGTCGGAGCACAAGTTCATTGCCCACGGGATGCCCACCGAGGCTGCTTTAAAGGTAAACGCGATTTTTTTTTAAAAACTTTTCGGGGTCACCTTACTTCATCTTCTTTAGTGAAATAACCTGTTACAGTGTTTACACGCAGCTGTTTTTTTATTATTGAGTCATTGCAGTGATTTTTGGGTAAAACATACGTTCTGATTAGCAAGTTTCCACTTTGCATTCTTGTGAGCTTTGCTAGTATAACAAATTGATGCAAATGTGCGCCTTCAAATCGATTAGATGTTTCAATCAGACATTCTTCATGTTCTATCAGGTTTTGGTCGAGAAAATGGGTATGCCCAAAGAGGCTCCTGAGAGCAACGAACTTCTGCGTAAGACATTTATCGACCTACTTCAATTCTCTGCTTCTTTGTCTATCATCGGGGTCAGAGATCTTGTAGCAACTAAACATGTTTGGTGTTTGCTTCTGAAGGTTGCTGCAAATGGTGGAGTGAATATGAGCGTCGGATCGGGACACTGGAATTCGACCGAGATAGGAAGTCTATGGGAGTCATTGTGAGTTCCGGTGCCGGGAAGAAGTTGCTGCTTGTGAAGGTGCATTCCCTTTCCATGCGTAAACATCCAATATATTCTCGTGAAAATGCCGTTGGATTGATAATTATCCGTACACTCTTTACTCTGTTTCTTCAACTGCTAATACTATGCCTGAGTTCGCACTAGAGAATGTTAAATCTCAATGACAAAGTCAAAAAGATTTGAAGTTTTCCCAAAGATGGGTAGTTTGAACATGTTTTTACCTTACCGAATCATTTTACTGAGTCGAAGTTGAAATTTTATTTCAATATGTACGTGACTAACGAATGAGCCACTGCGATTTTGACAGGGCGCTGTAGAAAGTGTATTAGAGAGAAGCAGCAAAATTCAATTGCTTGATGGCTCAATTGTGGAACTGGATGAGAACTCAAGAAGCTCCATCTTGCAATCTCTTTATGAAATGTCGACTGGCGCACTGCGTTGTCTGGCTTTTGCATTCAGAGACGAGCTGCCTGAGTTCGAGAGCTATGACGGTTCTGAAGACCATCCTGCTCATAAACTTCTGCTTAATCCATCTAATTATTCGACAATAGAGAGTAGATTAGTTTTTGCTGGCTTGGTGGGACTGCGAGTGAGTTCTGTTTGTGTTTCTATCATCTTTTTCCGAGTTTGAAGTAATCTTTTTCCCACTTCCTCGCAAGCTAATCCCATGGCTTGGTGCACTCCATACAGGATCCTCCAAGAGAAGAAGTCAATCAAGCCATTCAGGACTGCAGGGCAGCGGGCATCCGCGTCATGGTTATCACCGGAGATAACAAGAACACAGCGGAAGCCATATGTCGCGAAATAGGAGTTTTCAAACATGACGAGGACATCAGCTTCAAAAGCTTGACGGGAAAAGAGTTCATGAATTTGCAGAACAAGAAGGATCACCTGAGGCAAACCGGAGGCCTCCTGTTCTCCCGGGCCGAACCAAGGCACAAACAAGAAATAGTTCGGTTGCTCAAAGAAGACGGTGAAGTTGTTGCCATGACCGGTGACGGAGTGAACGATGCACCTGCCCTGAAACTGGCCGATATTGGCATAGCAATGGGCATTGCTGGAACTGAGGTACTCTTTTGTTACTGCATTTGCTGCTTCAAGACAGCGAAATCCTTCGTTGAAAATAAATTATATGTAAAGAATTAGGTGGAAGAAGTAGGTTAATAGTCAGTACAAATTGATGCCACATCTTAGTAAGATCTGAAGGGACCCAACTGAAAGCAATTGAAGATTTGGACCTCAATAAAATAGTACGAGAGTCCGTAAGTCTTGAACTAAGGAAGTTAAAGAATTATATGAAATTTGCCTGGTTTAATCAAGTCAGCAGAGTTATCAGCTCATTTTTTTTCTTTTATTTGCTTAAGAATCCTAAGCTGGGCTAACTTTCATTCTCAGTATTAGCAATTACTTGCTATCACGCCTTCTATAAAATATTCGTCATGCATGATTATCACAGTATTTTTTCGTCTGCTCCAGGTTGCGAAGGAAGCTTCCGACATGGTCTTGTCTGATGACAATTTCAGTACAATAGTCGCAGCCGTTGGCGAAGGAAGATCTATCTACAACAATATGAAGGCCTTCATCAGGTTAGTCTCTCTCAGTCCTACTTGGTTTCGAAGCACAAATGTTTGTGACATTTGTTCATTTATCAACTACTTTGGGCAACTCCTCTAAGAAATAATTTATTGAACATGTTTTAGGCTAGTAATTTGTGGCGACTAACGATTGACTGGACCACTATTGTCTAAAATAGCAATCTGAGCTTCGTGTGCTTGTTGCAGATAAAAATCAGTGGACCTATTGTTGTTAGTGCTGATGTGCTTTTTCCGAATTGAACTTTCAGGTACATGATCTCTTCAAACATCGGCGAGGTCGCTTCCATCTTCTTGACAGCGGCTCTAGGAATTCCCGAAGGTCTGATACCTGTCCAGCTTCTGTGGGTCAATCTTGTGACCGATGGACCGCCTGCGACTGCCTTGGGATTCAATCCTCCAGATAAGGACATAATGCAAAAGCCGCCGCGCAAAAGCAACGATTCTCTCATCAGCAAGTGGATTCTGTTCCGCTATCTGGTAGTTATCATTCACTGGCTTTAATCCTCCTAACGCTTCCTAATTGTACTGTGAATTGACCAGCTTGATTGCTTTGGACAGGTCATTGGACTCTATGTAGGGATTGCAACTGTGGGTGTCTTTGTCATTTGGTACACACAGGCCTCCTTCTTGGGCATTGACCTTAGCGGCGATGGACACACGCTCGTGTCGTACAATCAGCTTGCGAACTGGGGTCAGTGCTCGTCCTGGACGAACTTCACCGTCACGCCCTTCACCGCCGGGAACCAGGTCCTCACCTTCGACAGCGACCCATGCGACTATTTCCACGGAGGGAAAGTCAAGGCCACGACTTTGTCTCTCTCGGTGCTGGTCGCGATAGAGATGTTCAACTCTCTCAATGCCCTCTCTGAGGACACGAGCCTGTTGATTATGCCCCCCTGGGTCAACCCATGGCTCTTGGTGGCCATGTGTGTCTCATTCGGGCTTCACTTCCTGATCCTATACATCCCTTTCCTCGCTCAGGTTTTCAGCATCGTGCCTCTCAGCTTCAACGAGTGGCTTCTGGTACTCGTGGTCGCACTTCCGGTGATCTTTATCGATGAGGTTTTGAAGTTCGTTGGGAGGCGTATGAACAGGCTTCAACGATCCACGGGGCGAAAACCCGTGAAGCCAAAGTCAGAGTGAGACATCGTGCCTCTCAGCTCTCGATCTCCAAGTGTCAGCTGCTTACTACGTTGATGCCTCGATGAGATGCCTGTATAGTATATATGCAATATGCATCTCTTTCTTGGTCCGTCCTGACTTCTTGTATCAAGGTTTCGTGTTTTCGTTTTGCTTTGGAAACATACTAAGGATGCAATATTGTACCGCGTAGCTTCCTAATTACCGGCTTTGTACCACCGAAGTGATCCTCTGTGCGCTGTGAAACCAAAACATCAATCAAGTTTTGGAGATTATCTTCTGATTTCGATAGAATCTTCATGGCCTCATGCTGGTAAGTTTGGACCTGCACGAGCTAGACTAAAAAGACACAAGACTTCTAACTAAGGCGTCTTCATGAAACTATTAAACACGTTAGGCTTCACTCATCAGCAAGCCAAAGGATACTGTAGCCCTATCCAACAAGAAACGGGAAAATTGTCCAAAAAGTCATTAACCTATTGCACTTTTGTCAATTCAGTCCTAAACTTTTTAAGTTTGCCAATTTAGTCCTAAACCTTTTCACCTCTTGCCAATTGAGTCCATCCGCCCAATTTTGGCCGGCCGGTGCTGACATGACCGCTGTCCGGCCAACGCTGATATGGCAATTTTTTAAATATTTTTTTCGAATTATTTATTTATTTTTTCTTTTTTTTCTTGGCAACTGGCCAGAGGGAAGAAGGGCAAAAAAATATTAAAAAATTCGAAAAAAATATTTAAAAATTGCCACGTCAGCGTTGGCCGGATGGACTCAATTGGCAAGAAGTGAAAAGGTTTAAGACTGAATTGGCAAACTTAAAAGGTTTAGGATTGAATTGGCAAAAGTGCAATAGGTTTAGGACTTTTTGTACAATTTTCCCAACAAGAAACAAATAAAGATTTGACACAGGAACAGAAAAGGGAAATAAAGCACCAGAGTATTGTATTCCCTTATGATACGGGTAGGTATAGAAGCAACTAGGACAAAGATGGGTAGGTTTCGTGTCTTTACAATGATCGAGGCCTCCTATTGCCAAATGAGATTTCTTGAGAAGATGGAGGAGGCTGCTAATATCTCGTGTTCCTTGTTTGCGATTTTGACGCATCGATTGGGGATTTGGCAGAACCGAGCATGTAAACGGTTTAACACAAATGAAACTTCAAGGAAGCCTTAGGCCAATGTTAGAGAGGTACAATTGCAGCTAGCAAGATTTGACCTTTGAGCTGCAGATATATAAGTGTCACTACTATACAAATTAGTCTGATGACTTATTTCTTCCCCTTTTTTTTTCTTTTTGTCGCTTTTCTCCGATTCAAGCCATGGTGAAGAATAAATCGTTCTAGCGAGAAAATGCTGGAGCTATATTGCCCTAAAGGACCTTCAATTGTGAGTAGCTTTTATCAAAAGGAAATGGTCCTGCGCCGACTACCGAGGAGATGTGGTAGAAGAGCAAAAGGAGAGCTTTTATCAGCAACTGAAAGCAGTCACATTGTTCTGGAAAAAATTTTCATGCTAGTGCAGAATCAGATGCTTCTGTGACTGATCATGACATCTTTCTGCCCAAAGATGAGTATCTTCTCGCTCCTTTTTCACCAGGGAAAAGTTGACTCTAGACGATAACAGTCGCCACGACACTGACTATCTACTATATTATTATGATCTCTCCAGCCTCTGGTACAACATCATTGCAAATCTCTCATGTTCGATTGGAATAAGGTTGCCCTCAAGCACATGTTCGTTTCTGTGTGAGTAAAACAACAGGAACAATTCAATAGAAATTTTCAGGCAACAACATATAGCTCGGACTTTAGCACCATGGCTTGCACAGTTCTTAGTCCCTACGAGCCACAGTTCACTAGTCACCCCATATGGCCGACTTCAATTGGAGAGCATTATGATGCCATTGTCGGCGGATCCTACGAAGACTCTCTCTCATTCTTATCTGCCATATGTTTTCCCGGTGGGAGTTTGAATCCCTCTTATTTTCCACAGGAAAATTTCTCATGTGGTTTCAGAGCCAGCGTCATGGACACGACGAGGAACTACCTTACGACGAATATGGAGATTGGCCTAGCAATCACGAGTCCTGCTTCAGCAGTTGCGGGGAACGTTATTTCTTCTCACTTCGAGATGATTCCGACGATGGTGAACAATGGAATGGCCTACAGAAGGAGAATCTGTATCAGAATGAAGAACAAAGCAACGATTTTTACCAAATTGGGGAAATGCAATCTTCTTATGGACATGATCTCGCGACAGGATATGGATTTTGGCCAGAACATATATGGGCAGAGACCACTCCTGGAATAAGTCAGCAAGAGCCAACAAAATCCTTCGTCGAACCGGCTCTCAGTGAGAGTATCTTCGGTTACTGGCCCTGCCTGTTTCAGGAAGAACCGAAAACTCTATGGTGATTGAAGGCCGAGCTTCGTTACAGCGCCAGAACAACTAAGACCGACCACCCGGTAGCTTTCAGGAGTTTATCTCAGACATATTTCCTGGCAATTTTAATAATCCTCCATTACTATATTCATTGTTTAATTACAGGCAGTTGCCTTCCATAATCATCGATGTCTCATTTCAATCAAAAATACGTCAACGTTTAGTATGGATAATTTCTAAATGCCAAGGAATGGCAATCTTTCTTATTCTTTTTCATACATATTTACCAAAGCTACATCAAGGCAGCGATTGTCAAGACAGTGCACAAACATACAAACAGAGGAGCGTGTTTCGTACTGTAATCTATTTCAGGTCCAACTTTACAAGCAAAACTTTTCGCCATTAAAAATGTGCTGTACAATAAGGTTATGAACCAGAATACCTAAGTCATAGCACACTACCCAGCCCTAGCTCATCCTCAATGTCATCACCATCTTCAAATAGCTTCAAAAATCTAGCCTGTTCTTGCTCCCTCTTCCTTTTCTGCCAATACTTGTAAGCAGCTACCAACCCGATAAGTAGAACAGTCGAAACTAGAATGCTAATCATTATAGCAAGCGCAACATGCATTCCTTTCCCTTTTCTATGAGCAGCAGGGGTTGAATTGGTATCTGCAAAGACACAAGACCCGATTACCAAAATCAGCATGACGATAAACAGCCCATGAGTAATAAACGTATGTAATGTAAAAGAAGGTAAACTTTCGTTATTCATTATGAATACCAACTGTTCTATTCACAAAAGATCTCCGAGGCAATTGGAAATGAAAAATAGTGAAGAAGATCCTCTTGTGATCCACCGTAAAGAAAAGGAAGAAGATCAAAATCATGAATGATGACTTCTTCAATTGTTCCAGGATAATGGCTACAGATGCAGTGTTCCTATAATTGACAAATATTGGTAGGTTTTCCTCACAAATTTCCTATCTCAGTAGGCAAAAGTTTGGCATCCTAGTATACGGACTTTTCCATACAGAGTGCGAGATAGATCAATTAACTATATCCTGATCCCACAGCAATTGAGGTCACACAACATCGACTAGAAGTTTTCGCAGTTCGTCACAAAATATCTATCAATATTTATGACCCAGATGTCTGTTAGGCCATTGTTACTTTTTTTTTTTTGGGTCAGCCAGGTGTATTCTTAGACTTTGGAGCTACTCCACAAGGAGCTTGGCAGGCCCTTAGTGGGCCCACCTAGGGAAACCTCATAAACCCATAAATCCCCCGATCCGGAGGAGGGGAATTTCGAACTCCCCACCTCTCCATTCCGGCCATTGTTACTTTAAATCGTATGAGACATAATTGCTTGCATTAACAGGCTTAAAGTAGAGAGAGAGAGAGAGAGAGTGAGGATCGTGCAATCTCACCAGCCATAAGAGGTACACACTGTGGACATAGAAAAGTAGCAGTAAACTCCTTATCATTGATTCTGGTATATCTTCCATCCGAAGAGCTAAAATCTGAAGGACAGAACTCCCATTCTTCAAACGTATCATCTGATTTTAGAGTGTCCTCCTCATAAAACCCACATCGCTTGCATTTTTCATTTGAAAATTCGGTAAGAGGCTGAGAAATTGCAGATCACAACTTTAGCATTAGCTGTCTATATTACGGGATTAACACATTATCCACTTAAATTGACTAGAATCTGCCCAGACCAGCACTTTTAAGACGAGTAATAGAGAGCTTACAATTTACCGAAACTATTTATCACTCTGATCAACTATGCTGAACCACAGAAAAGAAGCTTGTCCCAATGAAATGTCGCCGTTAATTAGTAAAGCAGTGCAAGCTCACAAAATCAAACAATAGTACTACGGAAGGAAAACTCAAGCCTCATACCTAATAGGGATTCCAGTCACAAACTTCAAGCTCCTAACAGTTATCTATTAATAGATCCTACAAGCTAGTTCCAACCAATTACGCATCGTGTTACGGTAGTCAGGTCATAGAAACAATGCATACCTGCCAAGATTCTTGACCTTTAAACGCATACGACACGTTTGCTTCCTTCACGTCCGGCAAAACAGTCTTGTTCTCCCCCTTGCACCGGAAATAAACCGTCGGCTTAGCCTTGAACCACTCGTGGGTCCTATATATTTCGATCGAATCGAGCGTGACGACCGCGGCGAACAGGTATCCTGCAGACAGGGGATGCAGTGAGACGACCATTTCCGCATCCGCAGTAAACAGGCCCAACAAGTAGCAGGACGCAATCTCGACGCCATCGAATCGGGAACCCCCCCTCCCGCTTTAATCGACAAGAACCACATCAACGAAATCCCAATATCAAAAAATTCAACTACTTTAAGCGGACTCTCCATCTTCTCTTTCTTCCCTAATCTCTCTAACCAGCATCGACCATCCATCACAAAAACGATCTCGTCGAGCAACTAACGAATTCGCGCACCAGCGGCGGAACAAGGCCAGATCGAACCCCGGAAACAAGAAAACTCAGCTTCCGGATCGAATCGAACCGGAGACCCGGTTCCCGTTACCTGGAAAGGAGCTGAGGAAGACCCAACAGAACAGAGATGCAGCAGAAGCCCTCGCGGTCGTCGTCGTCATATGGGCGGAGGATTTGCAGGTTGGTCGGAGTCCGTGCCCGAGATCGTATCTTGGGTTTCTATCACGCGGAGACGGAAACCAGAGAGGATCGGAGGGAAAGATGTCGGAAGAGGACGAAGACGTGATTGGACGGGATTCGGTCGATGGCGGTTCGAGGGAGGAATGATTCGAAGCTTCTCCGGGGTCAACAGACGGAGGTTGAATGAAGCGCGCGCACGTTTGGAGGTTTTAGGTAAAAGGGAAGCTGACCGAGCTAATGGAACAGAGGCTGTGTGACGTCATAGGCCGCGCGTTTTGGCAACCGGCCAAACAGTTATCATTTCTGTTCTTTTCTGTTTTGAAACAAAAATTTCTTTTGATAAATTTTTTATTTTCGGACATATATTTGCAAAAATTTGTATACACAGAGGAGCACTGCGTCACGGTCTTGGAGGCCTTTGAGGCCGGATGTACATCTCTCTCTCTCTCTACCGTCATTGGATCTGATTTCTGCGAACCCGAATACCCACATTTCTTGTGTTTAATGAGGTATGTGGTAATCGTGTATTTAATAGGATAGATGGTAACTAGAGCGGTAGTAATTATAGAGTCTCGTGAATAGGGGTGTTCTCCCCTCATTTGTATCATCCAACACTTTAGATATAAAAAGTATGTTCTCTTCTAGGGTTTTTCTCTCTGAACACGTTCTCTCTACTATTCGAGGAGGCTAGTGAGGGAGAGGTCGATTCTAACGGAAAAGGCTTAGCTTTTTTTTTCGACCGAGAAAAAAGCTTAGCATAGACGACCTAATGTTGCCGCTCGGTTTCAATCGTAAGTATCGGCGCGTGAAAACTGCGCATCGCAGTGCGCCTTATTACTTTCTAATCTCTAAATTTTTGGACAAATGAAAAAATTGTCGAATATCTCAGTGCATGTACTCGGCTCCGGTTGTTTTACAGAAGATGTATAATTTGAAAAATATTCTCTCAGAAATGATCGCTTATGTCGTTACCAAAATCAATGGATGGAAAATCTATCTATCATCCACGAAAATTATTTAGACATAAATTGTTATCGATGACAAAAACATATTTTATTGATTAATTATTTTGGGTAATCATTTTCAGGAATATATTTTCTAAATCGTTCATTTTCCACGAAACAAATGCATAAGACTTCTTTCCGGACCTCTTATTAGCCAATAGCTTTTACCGTATCAATCTCAACATACAATGACAATATATTGACTATTGTTTTATGGAAAATAAATAATTGAAAAAGCTATTTTCCTAAAAAAAATTACTTATATCGCTTACAAAATGAATAAATCAAAAATATTTTTATTATCCATAAAAATGTTTAGACATAAATTGTTGTTGATAATGAAAAAAAATTTCATTGACTCATTAATTCAAGTGAAATAAGCAACCAATTTTCGGAAAATAGTTTTTAAATCATTCATTTTTCGCGAAATAAACGGAACCTAACCAAACCATTTCGAAAAGTCACCGCCTCGACTTAATGGACAAAATACAATCGAATGAGAAGCCGAAAGAGTGACCGACCGAAAAAAGATAGCAATTGAAAATCTCAACGAAGAAAAAGTTTTATAACTTAATTGTACGGATTCAAATAGAACTCGATGGAGCGACAGTGCGCAAAAATCTGGCAAATTTCAGTGTTCTTAAAGAAAATATGTAAAATGTTAATTGATAAGTTTATGGGAAGATAAAAAAAAAATATGAAGTAATACCCTAGCAAAAATAAAACCATTAATTATCCATTAAGAAACGCACTTTTTGGCAACAGGGGTCGGAAATTACCAGGTTCGGGGTTCGATCCCCGTGAGCACCGCGTAAAAGAGGAGTGAAGACAAAAGAAAGAAAATATTCGTAACCCTAGTTTTTGCTACGTCTGGTAAGATGTCTATATATATGTTTAGCCGACGGTTAATTCAACAAATGATTATGGCGGCCAATGCCAGATATGAAAACGGAGCTGTGCCATCGATTCTGGTGCTTTGGTGCTTCGACCTCAGAGGCACAAATTGGGCAGGAAGGAACCGAACATGGCGACCAGGAAATCAGCAACGAGATTTAGCTAAAAATAATGATGGAGAACGTAAAGAGAACGATTCCATCACGTAAAGCTCCTTTTTTGGCAACCCCCCCTCCGTCCTCCCTTCTTTAGCCCCGCTGCTCTCGGATCATGAGAGCAGCAGCAACACCATGACATTCCCAATGCCGAGAACCCGGTTCGCCTTCATCGTCACCGCCGCCCTCCTCGCCGTCTCGATCGATGTCCTCGCCGTCTCGACCGATGTGCCGAAGGACGCGATGGCCGCCTCGTTGGTTGGGACGATGCCCGTCGGTTCCTCCCTCGTCGCCAGTATCGACGCCAACGACCGCGCGACCATGGACCTGCCCCGGAACCCACGGCCCCAGGACGCCAAGCTGGGGGTCCCCTTCTGCAGCCCCCGCGAGTTCATCCAGGCCCACAACAAGGTCAGGCTCGGGCTCGGCGAGCCGCCCCTGAAATGGGACAAGAGCCTGGCCAAGTACTCGCGGCGGTTCGCGTCCAAGCGCGCCGCGGACTGCAAGATGATCCACTCCTACGGCCCTTACGGGGAGAACATATTCTGGGGTGCGCAGGCCGCGTGGTCCCCGTCCCAGGTCGTGGACTCGTGGGTCAGCGAGAGCAAGTTTTACAACGCGAGGAACAACGCGTGCGCCACGGGCCAGATGTGCGGGCACTACACGCAGATCGTTTGGCGGGACAGCGCCCGCGTGGGCTGCGCTTGGGTCGCGTGCCTCAACGGGGGAATGTACGCCATCTGCTCGTACGACCCGCCCGGGAATTACGTGAATGAGAGCCCGTTCTCGTCTTTCTTGGGCCAATGATGATGATCTCCCATTAGTAATATGACCTGAACTCCGATTGCAAGATTTGGTATTACTTATGTTTTAATGGCGGAGGTGTTCCTTTTGGTACCAAATCATTTTGCTTCATTTCGATCCCGCGACAATGTAACTTTTTGTGCTTAGGCCAATGGCATCTTGTGGCGTTAGACCTGCATTGCTCAAACTCGACATCTGCACGTATTCATCTGTGATGTGCAACTATCTCTTGTTTTTGGGGATCCATCTCCAGATTCTGGGGACTGCACACCTTCGGTTAACGTGTGAATGTGTCTTTCTCGAGAATGTCGCTATTTCTTACCGTCCGTCGTTTCGTAGTTCTCTCTCTTCTCCATCGAGCAGAAGCCCGTGCTCGGTTCTTCGAGCTCAAGGCACGGCAAACTAGTTGAGAATGAAACCGATGCAGATGGATGCAGGAGGTATCAGTTGATCCTGCACATCGTATATGCCAAGGCATCCCCTATTATTTCCTGGAACCTGACTTGGGGGATACATGTACTACATGCCACTTGATTGTTCCGTTCCTTTCGAAGCATCACAGAAGCCCGACCGCTTTTGATAAGTAACGGGAACGGAATTGAAAACGATCCACAATGCATTTGTTGCAGCAGCTTGTCTTCGAGTAGTGTGTTTTGTTTAGACTCCTTTGTCGTCGTAGGGGATGCCGCAGCCGGATCATATTATTTTCCAAGCACAGCCATGACTAATCCCGAAAGGGCAGAAAATGTGCACCATAAGAACAGGTATTGGGATCCCCAGAACAATCTCTCTACAAGCTAAAAACCATGATTCCAACATACTTACCTATAATCGAATCGACCCGTTTCTAAGAGAAACATAAAGAAGAATCAGTGATCGAAGTTTGACCAAAAAAATCTGAGATAACCATCAATCTGTACCACTATTCCTGGATTCATGGCATCAACCGTGTAAGCATGGACGAAGCGGACGATTTGGAGGTTAAACATCTGCTTTATTCGTCAAAACTTCCAGTCGCTCTAGTATTTTCCTGCCGCATTTAGCTGTTTTTTCGAGACGGATTGTGTTGTGTGAAGCCAGCGTGCAACATAGGAGGTTGATTCTCAGCAAGCAATCAAAGCGAAAATGTCAAAAACTTCCACTTGACTAATGATTGATAACTCAATATGGTGCAAGAAAATGAAGTTCTACAATTTCTGCAATCCGTCTTCTGAAGTCCTCCTTAATCCCAAATGTATCTCGGTTTCGAGTTGCTCGAGGGTTAACAGACGCTAGAATTAAACATCACTCGGAGGAGAAGACCTTAGCTTCCAACTGATAAGCCTTGGTGAAGAATCCCGGCCAACAGAGGTACGTGGACATGATGCTGCTCACGGTGGACGCGCCAATTAGCATGTTCATCACCACAATCTGCAGCTGGATGGCTTCGATCGGAGAAGCCCCTCCCATTATCAGGCCCGTCATCGCGCCCGGAAGCGAGATGAGGCCCACGGTTTTGGCATTGTCGATCACGGGGGAGAGCGCGATGACCAACGACCTCTTCACTTGTTGGTGTGTCGCTTGGCGCGGGGTTGCTCCGAGAGCCAATGCAGTCTCCACCTGCAACAAACAGAAGTACAAATTCACGTAAGTGCTACCGGAAATGAACTCATTACTAACTCCCAAGAAAGAAAAATCTGTAGAAGAGGGGAGCGGTCCCTATTCACTTCAGTACTTCACATGATCATTTACATGATTTCAAACTGCACTTGAAATGATATTTTCACCGAGACTTTATTTGAGAAAACAAACTCAAAGAGTTTGATTCACAATGGGTTTGAAGTTCCCTTTCTTCGAAAAAACAATGGCGGTGGATCACGGAATAGAAATGAAAGATGAGAACCGAGCTGATCAGAAAATTCTGAAATGTGGCGAAATTAGCATTATCTGAATCAGAATATAGATGACATACAAATATACGCGAATTGGTGCGAATCGTAAGTAAGAAGCAGGATCCGAACATATGTGAGGCTTGAGAATTTTCCAGATGATAAATTAGTCTTTTGTTCACGGATTGTGGAACATTAGCGGATCGAAATCAAGACTCACCAGGTTCATTTGCGTCCTGATATCATCCCGAAGCCTTTTCATGGTGACACCAGTAACCGTCATCGCATTTCCCACCATCATTCCTGAGACGGGAATGATGTATCGCGGAGTGAAGGGGAACACATTGAGCACGACAAGCAAGAACATAGTCACCGCAGTTCCGGCGAGGATCGAGGCTCCGGCTATGTATTTTCCCCGAGGCACATGTTTGGCACGTTGACCGGCCGTGTAGCCAGCAACCGAGACCTACAGGATTCAATAATCAAAGTCAACAAAAGGATTAATGTAAATAAAAGACGGCCAAGAACATGAGCCTAAGACGACCAGAAGAGCCTCTATTCTTGTCAAGAATGGAGGTCAGATGCTACGACAATTGACAAGTAGCATAAGAATTAGTCAAAACAAAATGTTGTGGGAAACAGTCTTTCATCTTTGCATTAGATAACCTTTTGTCAACTGGTCAAGGGTTTAGAGGAATCCTGTAAGATACAGGTTCCTCTGAAAATTCGTGGGGATTATCCTAAAGAAGATTGTGGGGAGTCTTGGGAGAATACGCGTAGGGAATCAACCGAAGGGCATAGTATTGCTGCAAATTCCTGGCAATCGAAACCAGTCGACGTGTCTCGGGTATATTGCTCTGTACCTCTTTCTCTGGAAAAGCTAGGGATACAATCAACCGAAGACTAAAGGTGAACAAACAGAGAGGATAGAAGGATGGAACCTTTTCTCCAATTTCCAGCTAATATTTTGAGGACATTAGCTGAAGCCGGAGAAAGTCAAGAAAATAGGGGAAGCTAAAATATTGTGAAAAGGTCATTATCTTACCTCACTTCAAGATCATCAAGGTCACGAATGCTTTGATGAATTACGTATTAAAAAGGAAAACTTTTTCCAGATGAACTCATTAGTGGAAGCAACAACAAACCAAGAAAGCAGAGACATGCTCTGCTTCTCTCTTTTCTCGCTAAACTCTATCTAAACATAAAACCGAAACGCTAAAAACACGGACAGGAGAGGGAGTGGGAGAGAGAGAGACCATGAAAAGGTAAGCGAGGACGATCCAGCCGCTGTTCTGGCGGTTGAAGATGAACTGGAGGACGAAGCCAATAATGGAGAGCTGAAGGAAAGCCCTGAAGATGGCGTAGAGCATCTCCCGCTCCAGGCGGAGCCTCTGGGTGTAGGAGAGGGCCACCGCCATGAGGACCACCGCGAGCGCCGCCACCGGCTTCACCATTCCCTTCAGGAAATCCACCATCCACCCCAGGTGCTCCATGTCGAACTCCCACTCCAACCCCAACCCCAACCCCAACCCCGGCGCTGCTCCGCTCACAATGTCCATTGTCGCAAGAACTCGTTCTTGAATCTTGACCCTGTGAAGAAGAAGAAGAAGAAGAAGAAGAAGAAACGAGTGGAGAGACCTCTGGAAGTTATGGGTGGGAGAGAAATGGGACGTGTGGGGGTGGCTTGTCACAGAATTTATGGTGGCGAGGGGTGGTCAGAGTCAGAGAGAGAGAGGGAGAGAGGGAGAAGTAGAGCCGTCCCCAGATGTTGTTTGGCGCTGGGGAAACGACTCGGGGGGTTTCTACTTGAGGAAAGAGGGATTGACCTTGCTGGTTACGGCAACGTACGTACGACCTGATCCGAAAAAACGGAAGTTATTTTGTCACGGAAGTTTTTGTCCTGGCACGCGCGTGCGGTGCGTGGACCATTTCTGAGTCGCGAGGGAACCATCCAGGCGATTGGCCTGATGGAGAGATCAATCATTTTTCGCACGGACATCACAGATTTATACCAGCAGCGAGTGAAAACGTCTGAACGGTTCGTGCCATGCTATCTAGCAGATGACTTAGTTCTCGGTTGCTATCGAATTGGTGAGACCACGGTGATGGGCTTACCGATCTCGGACATTCGAGTTACGAATGATGGAAAATAGTCGGGGTTCAGGTTTAACATCAGTATGATTTCTTAAGGTAATGTTTAGAGGGGTTCCCTAGAATTGGTCTCCCCTCTCGGCCCTTTTTCCTTAAAATAGAGAAAGTCGAGCGGGGGTCTTTGTGGACGAGTAAATATTGAATTCTTCGTGGCAGAATGGGGTTTTCCGCATGTGATCGTCGAATGTTGGGCTTTTTTCCAAGTAAGGTTCGAAGGTAAAATAGTTAATTTTGTTAAAAAAAGAGGCTTGGATTAAGCCTCGCACATATATTTCGGTTGGAGAGAAGTTAAAATCTGCCATTACATTTTGATTCGGTCTTGTTTTATGCATCGCAAGCTCATCTCGTGGATATCAATCCCATAAAGTGAAAGATGAGTTGGTTTCCATCCTAAAATCGAAAATCGGACTACACTAGGTCAGTTTCCAGTCAATGGAACCAGGGACCGACCCTATTCAACTTGGAACCGTATCGGACCGGACTAGCCATTCCTGGGAATTGGTGTTGTTATTTATTTTCTAAAATTTTTTATTTTCTTTCTTAAAAGTTCCTAAATATATTGTCTTCGGTATAAGATGAAATTACTAATGACGGGAAAGTTAACAATAAAAGAAAAGATCATTATCACAAATAATTTGTTCTTTTTGCCCTTGCCGAATAAAAGATGAAAAAAAATTAATACACTCTGAGAGTCAGTTTTGCTGGTTCGACTCGATCGGTTCGGTTCCTCCCCATTAACCGGGAATCGGATCAATTATTCCCGATTCCAAAAATTTGAAACTGAGAACTTGATCGATTCTCGCGAGAACCATCAAGAATCAATCAGTTCGATCCGATCTGATTCGATATTCGAGTCGGACCGCGATCGATGCACACTTCGAGAGCGAATCGAACCACTAAAGAGAACGAAAGACTACTATCTGAACAATGCATTCACCACGGAATGTAAAGAACCCTTGCCTTTTGAAAATCTAACTCTAACGCTGAAAAACACTAAACAGTCATTGTATACTTCATTCCACCTTTTGGAGGAAGAAATTAGGATGATCGGGAATAATATAATATGGGGGGAGGCGGGGCCCACGTCGTGTCGGGAGCCACGTGGCCGGGACCAAAGAGAAAAGAGCTCTGTACTGTACTTAGTAGTGGGGCAGCGGCGGATTCCCAAAGTCAAAGTCACATGTGAAAGTTGGGGGGGTAGGTTGGGGACCACCGCTTAGGAGGAGGGGGACGGTGCATTGATTGCGCAATGGGAATCGATCATGGGGATGGGACTCGCTTTCCGTACTGAATCTGGACACGTGCCCATCAATGGCTGAACACCGCTCTCACCACCGCTCGCTAATTTTCATAGCGATTAATATCAGGAAAAATCCGAAATCGATGTGCTTATGGCAAGTTTATTTCGAATTGAGTTTTGGGTCACCAAAAATCCAACGTTGGTACTTCCATGATTTACTCCAAAGTAGTCACCGATAACCCCAAATGATACAATTTTGATATATTTATCCTTCCTTAGTTTTCGTCAAATTTTACCGTAAAATTGCTGAGCTATATGACACGACAAGTCTATGTGGAAATCCATATAAGTTTTTGGTAAATTTGTTGTGGGTGTATCAATTTGAGGTTTTTGGGTAAATTTATCACGGGCGTACAAGTTTGGAGTTTTTAGATAAATTTGTTATATGTGTATCGGTTTGGATTTTTTATCGGTATTAACTCTTTTTCTGGAGTGAGTATTGGATGGATACAAGTACATCCAAAACGTACTCCATCTCAATCGTCATATCACGTGGGTCCTGTTGAAATAGAAGGGGCTCATATACTCCGAATGTATACAAGAGCTTTTCATTTTTCTACCCTCGCCTCTAAAGTACAAGAAGTCGGCGCCATTCACCATCATTTTCTCGAAAAGAATGGCGCTGGCCGAACAGTACTACCGCAGAAAATTCTTATCTAGACTCAAATCCATATGAATCATACCCATTGTAATCATTGATCAAGTAGGCCTACGTATGGATCTACATGACAACAATCGCGATTGTACTAGTCCACACAAGAGTTCCTCCGTAATTACCCGACGGTAATTTCCTAAACCTGCTGGTCGTGCACCCAATTACCACGATTGTCCCGGTGGCTACAATAGCTATCATAGCTTTTGATCTAAAATATGGCCGCATTGCGAATGTACTAATCATTTTCTGCAAGGATGTACTTGTGATTTGTTGGTAAACATGTAATAGGATCTCTAATGGAACAACCGTCGTTGCAATTAAAAGTGTCATAGAATGTCAATAAAAGGAGCATCAGCCTGGTCTAGGGCCCATGTTGTTCTTGGCAAATCATGTCCCGAGCAATATGGCTAGGTGGTAAATCTTCCCAAAATGATTTCTTTTCCCGTGTCGTGGAATCAATTGTTGAGGTACGGGTGTAGGCGTATTAGGTATGCAAAGATTTTCCCCATAAAGTAATTTATGAGGACTTCGTTAATTAAAATATCTACTTATCTCGTAACTTGATATTCTAGATTTTTTTGTGTGAATATGAATCTACTTAAGTATGTTAATTAGCTTGAACTTAGGATTCCTCTTGATGATATCTCCAAAACGAGGCACCAGAATTTTCTTGAGTAGTCATTCAAGAGATTATAGTTTTTGATCTCTCTCTTTATGATTGGAAAGACCACGTCGATCTTTTTCTCTTTATGATTGGAAAGACCATGTCGATCTTTTTCACGTGGACGTAAGTTGCCAAACAATCTTTTATGTGGACATGGGTCTCATCAACCCAAATAATGTGTATTTAATTTTTGGTAAATATATCTACAAAAAGATTGCGTGGGGCATCAAGATTGCCCAAAATCAAATCCATCTCAATAATCATTCGTAGAGGTGAGCATGATTTTAGGGTAAAACTTGGAACCTGAGAACCGGACCGGTAGAAACTTGTCGGTTTCAAGTTTCAAAGTATGCAAAGTAGGTTTTAGATCTCAAAATTTGAGGAAACTGTTTCGACGGGTAAGTTTCAAGTTCTAAATAGGTGGAACCTGGAACATAAATCTAGAACCTGCAACAAGTTTTTCTAAATTTTTTTGTCTATGTCTTCGTGTGATTCTGCAATATTTCATGGCGTCCGATGATGAGTGTATAACCTAGAACTGCTAGTCCGAGCTTCCATTTTACAACTAAGACTTTTACTTTGTTAATGTTTCATATTTTTCGTTTGTCTAAATAAAAGTCGTAGTCAGTGGATTGTAACAGCAACTGGAGGTCATAAAAGGTGATATTTAACTGCAATCGTTCAATTAATAATACAAGTGAAACCTAAATAGACTCTAGAAGTCGTGACAAGGTAGGTTCCAGGTTTCATAATATGTGCGGTAGGTTCTATGGTTCAAAAAATGAAGAACATATTTCAATGGGTAAGTTTCAAATTCAAAGTGAACATGTACGGAACCTGAAATATACGGTACTTGGAACTGCTCACCCCTAATTAATTGTGCGACTCCCACGTCAATTTTGCATATGAGGCGCACGTGATCAGTGACCGAGATTTATCCCGCCCAATTGATCGCGATATATTTTTCTGTCGTCTAGAACATAAATGTTTGCAATGGCGTCAAAAGAGTAAAGTAATGCACGCGGCATGCATAGATTTGCCAAAGGTACATCTCGCGTGGGAATAATGGACGCAAGAAAGACAGAAACATACGTTAATTTAATCCGTCTCGCTGTTTTTCTACTTTAATGATTTGGAAATTTGAGACACGGACGATTCAATGTGGACCATGATTGGTACGGGAATCGAGAAAGAGGCGGGGACCACAACCTTTTTGGTCTCGACTCCATTACGAGTGATGTTGAGATTGCGGAGCTAACAAGACCACCCTCATACAACTCAGGATAAATAATTCAAGAATTCTTAAGGAGCAAAAATGAAAATATTTCTCTTCCTCGCACTAGCTTCGGAGCAAAATGTAACGTTCGATAGCAATACAAAATTTCTATTTTTGGAATAGAAATTCGTTTAATATGTTATTCTTAAATTTCTGTTTCCGACGGCAGACGAGCGGTGACAGCGGGTGGCTGGCGAGCAGCGGCGACCGGTGGCGGACGGGCGGCGACGGGCAGCAAGGGTGAGTAATAAAAGAGAATTGTTATTTTTATTTCTGTTTCAGAAATAGAAAGTAGAAAATTCTAACTTATAATGATTAGACCGATTCTGCTTCGGGACACCCAGCAATGGAAGCTGGGTGTCCCGAAGCTAACAACCATGATGATTAGACTGATTCTAATATAATGTCACACGACTCTTTAAGCCTAAAGTTCAATCTGTTAAAAGAAAAACAATTCTAAATACTTATCGATCATATTTCATAGCAATTATTAACACAAAGTATGCCATGGATTAGCATGTCTTTTGCGCCAGGGCCCTCTTGTTATCGACTTTTAAATGAATTGAAGCGAGCCAAAGGGTGAGTAGAAAACATAAATCTACAAAGTCCGAGTAACTTGAAATGATTCGCAAACTTATTAATACACACCCGTGATGATATATACACATATACACAAACCCTCGATCGATTTCGAGGACATTGAAATACTTTAGTTTAAATTTATTTGGTACCAT